AGTCATTCAATGTGGTTTGTAAATTAGTGTGAAGTATTAACCCAATAACTGTGGCCTGCTCATCTAACCTATTAAGAAAAATGTAACTTTACATGATCTTAACCAACTATAGCAAAAATATATATTGGTGAAGTTGCAGTTGAAGAATACGAAACAGTTAATGTACAAAAAAAAACCCTTTCTCTATTCTTCACAGTAAAAGCAAAACAAAACCATTTTTTTTGAAAGAGGAATTCTTCCAGACAATGTTGAGAAAATATTTTCTTGCCACTTTATAAAGGTCCTTCCTTTAAAAGATTAGAGGTTTTTAATAAAAGTTGATGATTGTGTCTTCTGTTATAATTAAAGAAATATATAATAATGCCTTTGGACCAATAGAAGGGAAGAAGAACGTTATTGTTTTAATTGTTTGTATGATTAATTTTACATTTTTAAAACATTTGCCTACCTGAATTAATTATATTTCAAGGAACTACCATTTAGCATTAGATTTTATAGAACTATGTAGATTATGTGCTTGGGAATTGTAATCCAACAAATCTACTAAAGATTTACAAAGGCAAGATTTCAAAAATCAATAAATAACCGAACTGGTTCCCTTTAAGTTATCTTGCTGCATTTTGCACATGTGTCAAATGCAGGATTTTATCAAATGATTTTCTGTTCAGTTTTATTCTTTGCCGGGTGGAAGAGCAGAACTTAAAAGATCTCCTTTCTTGGAACTTTAAGTTCCTTATAAATGATTTTATTACTTATAATAGTTAATTAAAGACTTGCAGACTTTGTACATTTGTTGGACTCTGAACTTAGCTGGTGTTGAAGTTTTGACAATAGCCTGTGCTGCATGTTTTAATGAACAAAATTGAGTAGATATTTTAAGGATTCTTATGGCAGCTTTCAAATTTGGTACATTTAGATGAGACTGAAAAGCTTATGTATGTATTTATCTTGTATTTAGGTGGTTGCAAAATAATGTAAGCAGAGTAGTTTTAATTGAATTTGTTAAGTTTGGTTTATGTCATCATTTTATCACAGGAGGAAAAGGAACAAATGTAATTTTTTTTAAAAGTTCAGAATCCTGAAAAGTCTTGCTAAATGCCACATTTCATTGTGATTCCTTTAAGAAAGGATTTCATTTGCTGGAAGTTGTTCATTTTACAAAGTATAAATACAGTGGAAGCTACGTTTTTAAAAAAACCATTGAAAGTGGAAACAGTGTGAAAAGAAAAAGTAAAGGCTTTTTTCCTCTTCAATGTGCCAACCATAGAATCTAAGACAGTACAACAGACTTAGTGAATGGCTGTTGAAAAGTTTCTTTCTGTTCACCAGCACGTTGATTATCCTGATAATAGAGCCATTCAGTTATATATTTTTCCAGCATAACAAGTAATAAAATAATTGTACATGAAATCTTCATAGAACTCCACAATAGATAAATGGATTAATTTAAGAAAGGAAAGTGAAAGAAAATTTCATCAAGATAATGGATTCGATTAATTAAAAATATTTGCAAAAGTTCTTTTGTCTTTAAATAATATCCCATTAAAGTTGGGTGAAATTTACTTGAAGCTTTTACTTGAGATACTTCTTTTAAAGCTTCATTTTGTTCTGTTTAGTAGCTCAGTCACATAACATACCCGAAGTCAGTTCTATCAGCAAATGTTTTGTTTTCTAAGGTTCATGTAAGTATTTAACATCAACTGCTAACTCAGTTAAATGAAATATTTCCATCCCTACAGCAACAGCAACAGTTCATAGGACCTCAAAATTCATGACAACTAGGCATGTTGGAATGACATAAAATCAATGTGGCAGATGTTCAAATTGGACCACATGTATTTTACATGTTAATAAGGATCTAAAGGAGGAAAAGATTATGGTTAGATATTTTCAATATAGTAAAAATGGGCTTTGGAGTACTCTGGAATAGTTCAGATACTGCTTGGTGAGTCTTGGCATGATAACCTTGCTTTGATATGTGCTCTATCTAATAAAAGACACCTAATGTTATGGAAAAGGGTGATAGTTGCTTGAAATGATCTGAAGTCTTCTCTTTTTTATTATTATTTATTTATTTTTAGTTCTGCATTCTGCATTGGGTGGGGGTGTTTTACCCTTCAGAGATCATTGCTCTTGACTCCCTTTTTGGTTTCATTTCCCTTTGAATAAGGAATGGGTGCAGGTACACAGGCATTGACAGAAAAGTTATATATCAGTGTGTTTGTGTTTTCATTTGCTTTTGCAACTTGCTGCTAATTTTTCAGATGGTGACAGATATTATTGCTGCGGTTACTACTACTGTATGAGCACTCTATTTGGTCAGTGATAATTACTATCTTGCTGGCAAAAGAGTGTGCTAGAATTAAAAGACCTTCCTGTTTTGTTGCTTATATGCATATCCAAAGTACTGAAATGGAGTCACCGTGTGTATTCTCCCATTTTTGTGTCACATTAACATGAAAATAATTGTTATATTAGGTAAATAAATAATGGACATTACTAACTTACAAGTAAATGACTTTGCACACAAAATAGGTATAACATAAATGTGACAGGTTGCAGATGGAATGTTTATACAGATGAAGTCCTTTACTAGCCACTTACTCCTTGATTCTTGAAAGGTTAGGGAAAAATCAGTTTCCTGAAAATATTAAAAAGAATATGAAAGATTTCCACTGAATGATGTGCTTGGTTTTACAAGTGTAAATGGCTTCCCTTTTTTATTTTTGACTTTTAAAGTATACATTTTAATCAATGCTCTCTGAATTTCTAAAAACTTGCTCTCATGAAACAGGCCCCCTGCATGCATTTTTGTAGCCCTGAGAGAAAGAATTCTTTAATAGAGTTGTGCTATGCTCCAAATTAAATTCCATAAAGATGCTTCTGAGTGCCCAGGGAGCGAATCTGCAGTTCTTTGAAATGAGCCACATCTTCCAGAAACATGTGATAGTAGAGGAAGAATTTCAGTATACTTACTTCTGCTGCTACTTGCAAAGAAGAGAACATGTAAACATTCAAGTAACATCCATATGAAGGAAACAAAATTAACAGTAGTGAGGAAAAGAAGAATATTTTGTCCATATTTTAATCTATAAGAGAGATGTCAGTGACATGTCACCAATAACTGGTTTCAGAACATTTTCAGACGTTCAGGATCACATGAAGTGTTAGTACCACTTTATAATGTCTTGGTAAGGCCACACAAGGAATATTATGTCCAGTTTGGTTGCCACCATATAAAAATGGTGTTGAAACTCTGGAAACAATACAGACAAGAGTAACAAAGATGATTAGGGGGCTGGAGGCTAAAACATGAAGAACGGTTTCAGGAATTGGGTATATATAGTTTAATGAAAAGAAGGACTAGGAGTGACATGATAACAACATTGACTGCCACAAAGAAGGGAGGGGAGGTGTCAACCTATATTCTTCAAAGCACCTAAAGGCAGAACAAGAAGCAATGGATGGAAACTAATCAAGGAAAGAACCAACCTAGAAATAAGAAATTTCCTTGCCTTCAGAAGTTGTGAGTGTCCATCACTTTAAGAACAGATTGGACAACCACTTATCTGAAATTGTACAGGGTCTCCTGCTTGAGCAGGAGGTTGGACTGGATCCCTTCCAGATCCCTTCCAATATCCAGTTATTGTGTAGTAAGGGCCAAGATGGTCGCAGTGGTGATAAGAGCACTCAGAGCAAATTTGGGAGGGAGCTTATTGTCTGTTCTTGTGTACAGTTCCCAGAAACAACGTCAGAGCTCTTTGTCCAGAAGAGTGTGGTGCTAGAAACAGCTAACATACTACCATGTTTCCCCGAAAATAAGACCCTATTTTATATTTTTTTGAACCCCAAAATAAGCGCTTGGCCTTATTTTCAGGGAGGTCTTATTATTTTGGGGCGCATGGAGCAAGATGGAGCTCCTCTTGCCGTCTTACCTGATTCCCAGCTCTGCATTTAAATATTTTCGGGGAGGGCTTATTTTGGGGGGGAGCCTTATTTTAGCGCATGTGCTCAAAAGCCCGATTGGGCTTATTATCAGGGGATGTCTTATTTTGGGGGAAACAGGGTATATGCAGAACCCGCAAATTCCCAGGACTCTGATAGAGAACTGAGAATCAAAGAATGCATGTACCACTCATAGGGTTGAGAAGGGAATTTATATGATTACGTTCTTGAGCTTGTTTTTTCTTGAGCTAACAATAGTAAAGACTATTGTTTAAAAATAATGAGCTTAAAAACAGATTGCAGAGTTTGCACACCGTGAATTGTAATTAAAGTTTATGTGGTGCTTATTATATCAACAACTGTCAGGAGAACCCCTGAGCAGCAGTGACCCTAAACATGTGATGTCCTAGCAGCCAGGATCTTTTTTCTCCCCATTGGTTCAACCATCTGAAAAACTAAATTGGGGAGGGGGGGAAACCCGGAGGCTGTATATTTTCATTGGGCCCCTGGGGAAGTATGGAATACAGCTTTCTTCTGCTTTGCTGGGATATAGCCAAAAACTTTCTAGAAGTTCAGCTTTGACAGAGCCTTGTTGAAGAGGGGGAAACCAATCTTCCACCCATCGCCCATAGGACTCTAAATCTGACATTTCCCACAGTTTTTTTTTTTAAGCAGTGATGTCGCTGTGTCAGCAATATGGTCTGAATCTTATGCATTCTATTGTTAGCAAAGGTTCAGTCAAAGCTTCCAAGGGATTTCAAATGCTTCTCTCCACTGTCCAGAAATTCCTTCGGCAGAAAACTCCAAGAATTACAAAATATCGCAACTGTATCTGAATTCAGTACATGCAGTTTCATACCGGATTTGTTTTAATACAAGAAGCAATAAAATGGAATGAGCTGTGCCATATTTGATTCATTAGAGGTATAATATATTTTGTATGTACAGTATAGCTGAAATAAATAAAATGCAGTATAAGTTTCGGAGGGGGGGGACCTTTCATATAAATTTCTTCTTTATGTCTGAGAAGTGAAACTTTCTCAAGGTTTGGTATATGAACAGAAAACTTTTTTTTAATTTCAAAATTGCATACTTAACAAATGATAAGTACTATTGAATTGTTTTGGAAATTTTTTTGAGTAGCTTGAATTTTGACAGTTGGGTTTCAACAAATATTGTAGACATTCCTGTCATTCTATTTCTCAGAGGCCGTCATACTTTCCTCCTGCAAAGGAAAGCAATTCATTGCTGATTTTTTAACTGAAAGTAACAGTATTCCTTAACTTACGCAAAGATCCTTGCCATAAACATTTAATAAAAACCAGTTACAAATAAATCTATTTCAGAATATCTGAACCTATTTATTTATTTATTAAATGTACAGTATGTGCCACCCGTCTCACTATCCAAAGTGACCTTGGAATATTACATGCTGCATATGCAGGGGTGGGCTGCTGGGGGTTTGGAGGGGTTCGGGAGAACCTCTAGCTAAGATTCTGTGCAGTTCGGAGTACCCCCAAATCCTGGCTGGCCCCTCCCAGCAGTCCCCACACGGTCTGTTTTGGATGCAGGTAAGTGCAGGGCGCACATGGAGGCTCGGAGAGGGCGAAAAACGGGCCTACCGGAAGTTCGGGAAGGCCGGAAACAGCCCCGTTTCTGGCCTCCAGAGGGCCTTCGGAGCCTGGGGAGGTCATTTTCACCCTCTCGGAGGCTCAAAGAAAACCTCAATGGCAAAAATCTCCCCCTCCCCACCGTGATGCAGGAGGCCGACTAGGGCACGCCCATCATGGCCACGCCCACCCAGCAACTGGGCAGAGAACCCCTTGATGAAATTTTTGAAGCCCACCCCTGTGCATATGTTATGCTTTATTTTGTACTAATGAGTATACTTATAGGACTTACAGAACTACTGCCTATCATTTCTGTTTCATCTGAGAGGGGATGCCAAGGTTCTCCCCTCCTACATGAAAGTAAAGGGGGGGTCTAGGAAATGATCCTTACTATACTGCACTATACTACACTATAGAGTAGCATACTCCTGATGTATGTAGGACTCTCAGCTTGCCACCTTTTCAAAAGGTGCTAAAGGCCATTCTGTGAGACAAAAAGGTGCTAAAGGCCATTCTGTGACACATATAGGACATGCTGCCTTATTGATTGGAGTTTCCATAAATTGTGTTTATTCTATTTTTAAGACGCTGGATAACTATATAGGGATTGTTTAGTTATACTGATATTTTTTTTCTTGCTGTAAACCATCCAAAGTCTTCATGCAGTAAATAATTAGTGTATAATTAACAAAATAAATAAATCATTCCATTGTGATAAACATTGGACTCGATAAGAAGATCAGCAGTGTTTGAGGAGTTGGAACCCCTACTTCAGCCTCTTGAAGTTATTTGGCGATAGGATGTCAGAAATTGTTCAGCCTGTTTTTCAGGTTTTACAGGCAGGAATTTAAAAATTGAGGGCTTCTAGGCAGTAACTGCTCTCATCCCTTAAGCCTTAAATCTTTACAATTAAAAAAAGGTTCTGAAATTACCATTTGGAGAGCTTGGGGAGAGGAGAGTTCCTGTAGAATCTGTAAAATGGTTACTCCAAAGCATAAAGTTCAGAATTCTGCAATCATAACAAGGACAAATGTAGATTTATGAAAAACTGTTTAAAAAAACAACAACATTGAAAAGAGCATTAAAAAAGGTGGTCTCCCCAAAACAAAATATATTTTAGTCAAAGATCGTTCTAAATTTTCTGTAGGATATTTCCAAGGCTCTTCATGTTTTTTTAAAAAAAATTACACATCATTTAAATACAAAACGTCATAGAAAATAGCATTTTCTAGATTGTTAGAATCTAGAAATACAGTCCTGTGTTCAGTGGCAGTATGTTTCAGGTAATATTCTAAATTAAATATAGGATAGGTTTCACCATTTTGTGATCCTTCTACAGGTATCCAGGTGGTTATAAGTAAAAGTCCTACCAGAAGTGCACTATCATTCCAATTCACCATGTCTGTTATTTCTGTGGTATTATTCTGAGATACATTTTTATATTGCTTACAACTTAATGGTTTAATACAGATTTCAACTGAGGCTTCCCCGATTGTAGATTTCAATTAGGTATGCTGTCTGTGCTTGCTCTGTAGCTTATCTATGTATATGGCAATCAAAGTGGAAGCAGAAATGGACAATTACTTAAAATATAGATACTTGGCACCCCAAATCAGAGCTTCCCAAAACCACTGTATATAGATTTGTAAGTTCCAAGGACTACTTATATAAATTTTTCTTGATTTGTTATTCCAGGGCTCAAAATTGGGCACACAGAATTGAATGATGTCAGACAAGCATAACGATTCGTTTTATGATGACAGCCTCCAGTCTCTTTTGGTCTATATAAATTTATTGTTTATATGATCCTTTTAAAAGCAATTTTACTGTGTTTATTGAGCTGCAGTGTTTGAACCATGGTGATCAAATTGGTTTATGATAAATATACTCAAGAAACTTATGTTGGTAATTCATTTTTAAAAAAAATATTAATGCTTATTATTGTAGTGTTTTTTACATCACATAATTATGTGGAATATTGACTGATACATATCTAATCTGCCTACTTCTTGATTTCCTTACTCACAGAGAACTATAAATATCGACATCTATGAAATACACATTCAGTCAGATTTCAGAATAAATTTGGTGTTTTGATCTGGATAGCTTTTGGGCAATTGAAATGTATGACAACCTCTTTTAAAATACTCAGTCTATGGAAGTATTTCATTTAAAAATTATCTATTATCACTACAGTTTGCTAATAACATTCAGAATCATCATTATTAATAGATGGACATTATATTTGTAATACAATAACATTGAATTTATTGTGTTTACTTATAGCACAGTTACACTAAATTTTCAGAGATATTTAAGTCTATATATAATTGGTTATCAATATTTCACTAAATTGTTACTAAAACCATATTTTCGAAGAGAACAAAGTGGACTAAAGTGTCTTCATAAAGGTTTATCAATTATAATTACATACCGGTATATTATTTGTAAATATTTTCTGCATGGATGCACTATCCAAAAACATTCTGATTTAACAAAAAATGAGATCTGAACCATTATCACACTTCTGTTTTAATTTTATAATATATATTCAGCCAAGAATCCTTCAAATTATTTGTTTTCTTTCCAATGTTTCATTGGTTCTTAACAATTTATATGGTCATTACCTTTATTTTCCATTAAACTTCAATTTTCAGTAGCACTGAATTGACAAATTTTGAACACACACAGGATATAGAAATCAGGTATGATTTATTTAACAACAGTCTCGCATAGCACTGGATGGTAGCATCTTGCATAGCATTCTGGTCCCAGGTGTGGTCATAAATCAAGGACTACCTGAATTTGTATGAACCTAAGTTCAATTTCTTATCTGATTAAAGACCAAAAGCTTGGAAAGCATTTTAAGTAAAGGTAAATTTATTTAATGTACAGATGATTGGAATTGGCTTTGGTAATTTTACTAATTATAATTATTCAAAACATATGGTACATGAATAAATGATGCAATTTAATGCATCCTTCTCCAGCCTGGTACCTTTCATATATATTGGTGTGCTTACCTACAAATTGTAGCCCAATGAATCTTACGGCTACCCGTTTACTTAGGCATAATAGACATTTGAAAACAGCTTGGAAATAATGGACAATTGTTGTTATTAACATTTGTAATTGTATAACATAACTTTTATACAGTTTGCTCAAGAAAAGAATCCAGGAGCCGCCTAGGATGAAAATATGTAGTTTTACTTTTTTAATATTTCAATTATTTTTAGGCCTTCTAAATTAATTTTTAACAGGGTTTATTCACCCTTGCCTCTTTTTTAAATTTTAATTTTTAGATACTGTTTTTAGAGATTAAATAAATAGGAAATGTGGAGTTACCCCTCCCCCCCAAATAAAATGTTCCTAATTTGACAAATTAAGTCTGTAAATATGAGGTAAAAAAAGCCTTATTGTGGTTCTTGCTATACTTTCTGGCAAATATGAAATAATATAATGAATGGATAAAGATATAGCTTAAAAAGGATTGCTAAAGAATATATTTGTCATTTTAATCAAATGGATCAAATAGTATTATTTAATTATCCTTTTAATAATGTTCTACTATATTAATCACTGCAGATAATGGAATAAGATGTATCTAAATACAAGTATATAGTATCCAAAACTCTTGTACAAGTACAGTAAAAAAATAGTTTATTCTATACAGTACTGTATTCACATACCTCTGAATGTAAGTCCCATTGAACATAATGTGATTGATAAAATAAACATACCTTTAATTCTTTTATAAAATAGAGTATAATTTCATTAAACATTCATTTTTTAAAAAAGACAAAAGTATAGGTCTATGTAACTTATTTATGTTTATGTATGCTCATATATTACCTGACTGTAGGAGCCTTGGTAGTACAGTGGTGTAATGCACCCTGTAATTAACACAGCTGCCTGCAATTTCTGCAGGTTTGAATCTTACCAGGCTCAAGGTTGACTCAGCCGTCCATCCTTTCTAAGGTAGGTTAAATGAGGACCCAGTTTGTGGGGGCAATAACTGACTTTGTATAAATATACAAAAGTATGAAGGCTATTGCTTAGCGCATTGTAAGCCGCCCTGAGTCTCCGGAGAAGGGCGGCATATAAATCAAATAAAAATAAAATAAAAATAAAAATAAATATTACCTGACTGTAGCACAAACTATGTAATTAGGAACTCAGAACAAATTTAGCAAATCAGCATGTTTGTATAGTATGTGTTTTATATTTTTTTTGTTTTTATAAGGTATGAATTGCTTAGTGTGCCATATTATTTCAGAGAATATATTGTTTAATTCAAATCTCAGTGATTTCATTAGCATTAACAAGTGCAGCTGTATAGTTCAGGGAACTCTATCAAAACTATTTCAAGAAGGGAGGATTTTTCATCAGGTTCACCTGATTCGCCAGTTGCGTCCCTTTCTGGATCGGGACTCGTTACGCACGGTCACTCATGCCCTCGTCACCTCCCGCCTGGACTATTGTAATGCTCTCTACATGGGGCTCCCCTTGAGGAGCACCCGGAGGCTCCAACTGGCGCAGAGTGCGGCCGCGCGGGTGGTAATGGGAGCGACGTGGCGCTCCCATGTGACACCTCTCCTGCGCGAGCTGCACTGGCTCCCGGTGGTCTTCCGGGTGCGCTTCAAGGTTTTGGTTACCACCTTTAAAGCGCTCCATGGCTTAGGACCTGGTTATCTACGGGACCGCCTACTACCACCAATAGCCTCCCACCGGCCAGTACGCTCTCATAGAGAGGGACTCCTCCGGGTGCCGTCAGCCAAACAATGTCGGCTGGCGACCCCTAGGGGGAGAGCCTTCTCTGTGGGGGCACCTACCGTCTGGAATGAGCTCCCCCTGGAGATACGGAGGATCCCGGATCTGCGCACCTTCCGCCGCGCTGTGAAGACCTTTTTATTCCAGCAGGCGGGCTTGGCCTAATCTCTTCCCTTTTAAATATGTAAATTTTAATCTGTTTTTAAATTATTGGGGTGTTTTAATCTGTCTGGGCCAAAATAATTTAATTTGATTTTATCTGGTTTTTAAATTTTTTATGTCTATGTTATTTTATTGTTTGGCTGTTCACCGCCCTGAGTCCTTCGGGAGTAGGGCGGTATACAAATCGAATAAATAAATAAATAAATAAATAAGAAGCAGGACTAAGATAATTGTACATTACAAATCTATACTGATGTTAATAACTGTTTGACTCAATTTAGCACCATTCCTTGCATCCATATAGAGCCATAAAACCATTACTGTAACTGCAACATGCTTTTTTGGGTGGAGGGGGAAGAAGCATTATATTCTTCCAGATGTAGCAAGGAAAATAAGGCAAATTACCAAGCTACTAGATGAATTCTAGATAAATTATTATGCAGATCTATATTCACTTTAGATGCAATGCAATATCAAATTGCAGTACAAATATCAGCATCATGTAAAGCATTGAATGACAAACCCCATAATCATATGGTAGTGAACTTAAATTAAATAAAGCTCTCAAAGTTAATAACCAAAACACATTAATGGAAATATTGAGCTATTAGGAACATGAAACTTTTGTGAATCATCTGATTCTCATTCCATCCCTTAAAATGGCTCTTTAGCAAAGTTTGTTACTTTTAAAGATCAGGGTGTGCAAAATTAATGGCATTTAAAACAACATATATGTGTCAGATGGTATGGATTTTTAGTTTGGAGTAAATTATTATTAGGAATGTTATCAGCATCTTAGTAATAAAAAGAAATGATCATATTTGAGGTTTAAACTATAATACTTAGGATCTTACATATGAAGACTGGTATCTACATTTTTACTCCAAAATCATTCATTTTACTTCTGAATTCCATAAGTTGGAATAGCTAATGCTAAGAAGAAAATTGAATTGTGAAAGAACTATTTTCCTGTCTGCAATAGCCATCTTGTTTTCTTTCTAATCAAGAGTTAATAACATTTTTGTAGCATAAATTTTATCTACTAATTTCATGAATGCCGTCTTATTCAGTTTACAA